AGAGAACAGATCGTCAACAATATTTAACGTACAAAATACTGCATCAACACATGGGATATAAGAATTGTTAGTGTAAGGATTTTTTAGGTTAAAACTGATTGTGGACATCCATTTTCCTATTGTGCAGAGGACAAATGACAAAGAAAATTCCCGTTACTTACGCGGCAACGAGGGAGTAAAGGCGAAGGGTTTCCATCAGACACATTTCAAGGTAAGACATCTTCTGCACGGCTTCATAGTCAACCACACCCTGTAGAACAAACGCGGTGTTTAGGTGATTGAATTAATATCTGTCTTTTCTTTAATTCTTGCATATAATAAGCTTATAGTTATTTCGTTAGTTTGTTGGTTATCATCAATGGTTGGACTGAATGTGGCTTTGTTTGGTTTCCGGTTGAAATTTCTGGTCAAATGTTTAAAAAAGAGCCTGTCTAAACGTCATGCAACTGTCGGCCATCTTGAATGGTCAATCTTGATTTTTCGAAAATCCTTTTTTTTAACAGAATAAAATAACACAAATTGGCTTGAAAAGTTTATATAAACTTATGTACAATATTCAAAGTACTGATGAAGTGAAGGGAAAATAACCGGTATGGCGGTAAAGATATGATCCACCATCTGTGATTTTGGCCGATGACTTCATCAAATTATCATAAATTTTGAATTGCAATTTGCAAATTTACACATGCAATCTCTCTCTCTTTCTCTCTCTCTCACACACACACACGCACACACACCCAAACAAAAACACACACGTGTACACACAATCACTCACACGCACATGTGTGTACTCACATGCACACACAATATACGCTGGTATATTAAAACCGTTAAAAATGTTACTCACATAGTTATACTGACATAATGGCACCCCATATTAGAGTGATTACAATTGGAATAAGTAAAAAGCATACAACAGAACGTACTTGACCGTCAGTAACGTCCTGTATCTCCTGCCTGACTTTGTCCTGGATCTCCAGGTCTAGTGCCAGTTGGTACAGAGTAAAGGACAGGGTGATGGACACAGTGTCGAAACCCGCTTGAAAGAAGCCGATTCCATTCGCAACGACATCATCCCTAGTAAGTGCTGAAAACAGAACACACAGTTGTAACACATTCATTTTAGATTTGGAAACGTTGGGCACATTTAAAGACCAAATGACACCAAAAAAGTCTGTAAAATACATACAATATAGTCACAGTTTTTTTAATCATGATGACTGAGAAATTGAGCTTGTATGGTTTTCTTTGGAGACTTATTGCAAATCCATACCCGATGGATAATTGAAAGAATATGATAACACTATTCAAGGAGGTCACGAGTTAAGAGATCAGGGTAACAAATTAACAACATTATGAAATAAAGACAAAACTTTTAACTGTCAACACTGCAATGGATCCATGGATTGGGACTTACCCCAAATTTTTGTCTGACTCCTTCAACCTTGTTTACGGAATGCACCCGTCTACTATTGGAACGTGACGTCAGAGACACGTGACCGTAGTAGATACTTGCCGGATAACTTGTGTCGCCCCCCGTCTCTGTTCAGGTTAGGTTTGTGAGCTCTCATGTAGACCGCCTCCTTCACTCCTCTTGCAAAGGGCGTCACGTTCCAAGAGTAGACGGGTCCATTCCGTAAACAAGCTTAAGGGTGACTGAGTCAGCCGAAACTTTGGGGTAAGTCCCAATCCATTGCAGTGTTGGCAGTTAAAGTTTTGTCTTTATTTCATAATGATCCGTTTTATTATTTGCATGGCTGTAGTATACATACGTTGTTTCTTCCCCTGCGCCTTTGCCCCATCCATGTTGTCCTCGTCCTTGTGAGCATCTATCATTATCTGCAGCAGGTCTACACGTCCCTTTCAAAGACAGATAAAGGTAAATCGTAAGTCTTTGTGAGTACATCGAGTTAAAGAATCTCTCATGTGCTCTAGCAGCTCTTCCTTAAAATTCCCGTGTGATAACATTGTATGCATCATATACACGCACAGAGCTAGTTTTAATTTTCTAATGAAAGGTTTGATATTTTTAATATATTTCCACAATTATAACAGGCAGATTATCAATTCAATTTCTTCACATTCTATTTCAAAGCTTTTTACCTACCCAGGAAATCTTTTTTCGTCGTTATAATGCATTTTTGACACGCAATAACAACGGGAACAAATCCCCTTCCAACGCAGTGTTTGGCCTTCTGTTGCTATAACCTGCCCAAGATATCAGCCATGATACTCATTATACAATGTTGAGCCCAGTTGGCTGACTGGTTGGTCGGTTAGTGAGTTGATTGTTTGGTTGTTTGGTAACCTAAATCAATGCACCATGATGTTATGATTTCTACCTTCCCTCCACCAGCCTCCCGCATAGAGAGCAGTTGATCCATGACTCCATCGAAGAAGTTGGTAGCTTCTCTGGGGAAGAACAGTTGGTAGTTGAAGAACTCACAAATGCGTTTCGTGATGCCGGGAAACACAACTGTGAAACAAACAACAGGGAGATGCCATTGGTTAAACGTTTCGGTTCAAGAATTATAAATGTATTAGAAATGATAGAAAAAACATGGTATGCTTGTTGCGTAGAGTACCATTGGTTACCTCCTCATCACCAGACTGGTCACAAGAAGTATACTGTATGAATGGCAGAGACTTCAATCGGAGTTTCCGTTGAGAGAGTCTCAGATAGGAGCCGTCCATTCTACGAGTTCAGAATGTCCACCCTAACATATATACCAGTATGTGCGATGTAATATTCACAAGTTTGAGCTCAACATGATAGGAAAAAAAAAACTTTACTTACCAAAGAACAGGATCAAAGGATTCTTAAAGCTGATGTTGGAGGATTTCTTTGCGTTGATGACGAAGGGATCCTGCGGGTTCCGCTGGGAGTCAATCTCAGTGCCGAAGACGGTCCTGGCGATAACGTCCATAGTAAACGCTCCGGTCAACCTGCAAGGTAAAACCGTGCCTTAGGTAACGTTTTTTGATCGCCCAAGTAATTTCATGTTAGGCCATGTTGATTTGATTATATGGATGACATCCGCGCGCGCATGAATTTTCGGCCGTTTCCAAAAAAAAAAGTTTTCAACCATACTGTAATCGTACAAAACAGTTGCAAAATGAGCAAAAATATACCATAAGTTACAAAAAAATTTATTAAAAACTATACCAATGTCGTAGAATGCCAAAATCAAACGAAAAAAGACGAAATTGTAAAGAAATGAACTTGAAGACTAGATTATTCGCCAAACCATATTCTGTGCCATTTGCTCAACCCTCATGACCACGTAGATTTCATAATGAAAACACCTTTTTTTTTTGCAAAACTTTTTTTTTATTCGCACGCGCGCATCAGTTTTGGGGCTCCCGGAGGATGTCATCCATATAATCAAATCAACATGGCCTTATTTTACGTCCAAGTAATTTTATGTACATATAGGCCACACTTATTTAATTTTATGGATGGCATCCCCGCGCGCATTCATGATTTTCGCCTGTTCTAAAACAAAGTCGGCCGACGAGGCTCTGGCCTGGGTTCAATCTTTCGCAGTCCATGATACCTAGCTAATGTATGGAGCCTGCGATTACGGAGGACGGCACCTAGGCTTCCGAGGCTCCACTAAACTCTAGAACAGGAAGTACAGTGCCTACTCATCAATGCCGCGAAATGCCAGCATGTGCCGGCATATCGTAAATGTCACTATGTACCTCGGTAACTGCAAATTCACAATCCCAGCTTTGTTTTCCCGTGGTTATAAGCAGCCCTTTTTTACTGGAATCATTTGATTTGCCCGCGCGCATTAGTTTTGGAGTCTTCAAAGGATGTCATCCATTAAACTAGGTTCAGTGTAGCCATACATGTAAAAGATGGTGAAAGTTCGATGGTGCAAACAAACCGCGAGAGCGTTGTCTTTTTATGAATGGTATTCTTAGTTTAAAAAAAACATTAATATATTAACAATAATTGCAAGATAACACGCAGAATGCAAAGAGGTGAAAGGTTATGAATAGGTTATGATGGATGAATGAAGTTTGGTGATTTTTGTAGAAACATTTTTTCTAGGTTTTGAGCCCCTGTTTCATGTAGTCGTAACAATTGACAATATATATACAATTGAGCATTTTTGGTATTCGTGGAGCTTTGGAGCGGGGTGGGGGGCTCATTTAACAATATATGCATAACTCGTGAACGTCGCAGCGAATGGATTATTGTCTAGTAATAGAAAATCATAATGTAAAAAGTCGTCATCATGACGTATGCTCTTACTCTTTAACATCAAAAGACTCCTTCGTTGTCGCAAAGCTGCCGATGTTCTCTACCAGCTGTTCGGCGCAGCTGTTCATGGCACCTGCCATCTGGAAACACAGTGTCAGGTGTTGATCATTTATTCGCACATTAAAAAAAAGGAAATGATAAAAAGATTGTGCAAAAAACAAAACAAAACAAAAAAAAACTACAAGGTTTATAGAGGGTCTCCTTTTTATGTGATTTATTGTATAATTGCCTAACTGCTCAGGCCAGTATCTGGTCTCAGGCTACTTTCAATGATGTTATTTCTTGTGGTTAATCAAAGACAAATTATAAATACACAAGAAAGAAATGGAAGCGACAGAATAACTACAATAAAACGACATATTAATAGTATCAGAAAAGAAAAAAAAATACATCGATTAGTTCCATCTAAAAAGCACATTGTCACCTGTATACTAGTATTTTTTGGTTGTCTTTTGTTTATATATTCCAACATTTCATGACCAAACATGGCGACGGCACACTCAAGTTATAGCAACTTATTTTACAAAGTACAGTAGTATTGTTTATTGTAAATAAAACAATCAAGTCAATTTATGGTAAACGAACCTTGCCTACCAGCTAAGCCTTATACTGTTACAGCTGAAGCCTTAACACTATATTCACCTGTCTGAGTTTGCTGCCACTGAAGGCCGGACTAAGCGTGGTCCGCACGTTCTTCCAATCATCGTTCAGGAGCTGGAATACCATCCGACTCAGGGGCTTCACGTTGATGATTTGATTTCCGTCCTGCATAAACCGGAATATATACGCTTTAATATATCGGCTTAATATATAGACGTAAGTATCAGCTGAATACAAAAGAGGTGAATAGAAGACTACCTATACGTATACAGTTGCGTATTTAGTTCGGTGGAATACTTTAACAAACGGAACACGCTGGGGGAACTTTAATACCTAAAGACTAGTGAAAACATTTTCAAGTTATGTTGACAATATCTATAGATTTGCAGAAACACACACACACAAACGTGCACGCGTACACATACACATACACACACACACGAACATGCATGGGAAAGCATACATACACGCGAAAACAAATTTAAACGCGCACTCGACGGTCACTTGCACTAACAAACACATATATAGAAACTTCTTCAAAATACTTTTATAATGGAAGTAGCAAATGCGTGTGTTAGGTAATATACTGTACTTAATATACAAATATTTCACATCAAAGATAAGTAATCCCGAAAAGACAAATACGGAGTCTTCAATGGAAGCTTTCAATGGAAGCATGAGGAATCTTTTTATCTGTGTCTCTGATTTTAAACGTAATACACTCAGAAATTCCCAACCCACAGCCAATCGCTATCCTACTGTAAAATGTTTTATGCATAGTAAATACATGTACAAATTAGACCAAGGAGCTTTGAGTTTACTTCTTTGAATAAAATGATTGGCAATTCCTATCTTTTTATCTTTTTTCATTTCATCGGAAAACAAGTGAGGTAGATAAAACAGACCATTATATAATGCATACAGTACTCACTTGGCGATTAGTAAAGCTTTGAAACTGCTTCACAAAAATCTCCTTTAGCATCTCTGGGTCGGTAACCATTAGAATAGGAGACATGCCGTTGTAGAGTCTGTCACAAACAAACGATAACACGGGGATAAACAAGACTCAACTTTTAAAATCGACATATTAATAAAAAACAGATACGCATTTTCGCTCTCTTTTGATTCTAAAATCGACTTATTTCGACAATTTCCATGTAGTGTTTATGGAGTGTTATAAGCCACTTATTTAGTGCTTTTTAGTTATTTTAATTCATGTAAAAGCATTTCTAAACCCACCGTGTAGTGCTCAAAACCCCCATGCAATACTTTTCAGTTAAAACTGTTGTCCAGATCCCCTTGGTATGATATTGATTGAAATATAACAATGACCTTTATCAAACTGTAAATAGAATCATTCCCCCGTCATTTACTTACCCCATGAGTGGTCCCATGTCCGAGGCAGTATATTTAGTGGTGTAGAATCCCTGCACATGTGTAACAATAGAAAAAAAGTTTTCTTTTTATCATAATTCATTTATTCGTTTATTTCTAAAAACGATACCCTTTAGTCCATGACGACCAATGTTATCATGTTAGAATTATAAAATACTTTACGGGGATATTTCCTTCCAAGTAGAGGTTTGGTGTTTGGCTTATTACCTCTCATCAACAGATACTAATTATGCAAATGGTGACCTAATTTGCATAATTAATGCGAAAATTCTATGATTTCTTAATGGTGAATGATGGGAAGGTCATACTTGGGACATCTGTAAGTTAATCAAAAGTTAACATCACGGTACATATATTACGTTAATCCAGACGTCATTTGCGTAATTAAAGCAGAAATTTACATTTACATATCAAGCCCATATTTCATGGAGGTATGAGATCTCGGAACTCTTGTTGTGGAGCGTTTTTACGCTTTTACCATGCTTTTTATCTGGATCTGTTTTTGTTCTTGTCTATTTGTTTTTACACTGGTTCAATCGAGTGACCAATGAGAACTGCGTGATAGATGAATACCTTACAAGGACCGAAAGACTTACTTCGAGATATACGATAATGCAATAATGCTATTATACTCTTAGTTGATCATTGACATAGTTTCTTACGGGCCAACATTGTCGCTTATACTTGCATATCAGTTGTTTGAGCATATGTCGACATTTTACCATTATTGAATGCTATTTGTATGCGCCTTGTGGAGTATAGACTAGAATTTGTTTGATGGTTTACATTTTCAAACCACCCTCTATCAAAAAAACAACAAATGGACTTTTCATTCGTCTAAATGTAAACAGCATTTAAACTCACCGAAAAAACAGTCAGGTAGGAGGTACCAACGATCGGTAGAGGAGGTGGACCTGGGACTCCCATTTTCTTAAAGAGAAACAAAGGACGAACAGCATATCTGTTTGAAGGAACAGTAAACATTATAATTAGTGTCGTAATTTAGCTTAAGAAATGCCGTCAGCTATAACATTTCTGCAAAGCTACAAACCAAAAGAAAACAATCAGATTTGAACATTTTGCTACTTGTCATTAGTTTAATACCCCAAAAGGGCAACTGGTACATCATTTAACTAAACAAAAAAACAAACAATATCAACAATGATAACAATAATAAGAATATGAAAACACAAAAATAACAATTCGATTATAAATAATGGGAATAATAATGAGATTATATTTTTGAACGAAAAAAAATTGTATACTTTTTTCTGAATTCGTACGGCTCAGACAGTTTCAGATATTGCAACAACATAAACGACGTAAATGACGTCATATTATGTCATAAGTTAATTTTACTTGTAAATCATTCTTGAAAAATTTGGTGGTCACAACAAAAGAGTCGGAATGATAAACTAAGTAATAACGACTGAATAATTTTGCGCTGTTAAAAATGCATTTCTAAAAATGATTTTCAAGATTGCAGCTCCAATGGGGGGGGCGGAATTTAAATAACAGTAGTAACCTATTTCAACGGCTTTAACCAATAAAATCACAATACAATTGCAATGACATCATATTACGTCAGAGTGACTCCTAAGTTGTTATGTATTCTCAAAAGAGCCTACAAGGCCAAGGGGCGGGCCTAAAAACCACCTCCCCACGTGAGGTCATCATGTAACGATTGATGGTGTCAACTAAAGTTCATCGACCGACATCGCACACAATACGGTACAAACAAAGACGGACATGTGTAGGCGGGGGTACATATACATGTACATACATGTATACTGGCTCTGAAATATCTAGCAGCATTCTAATGCACGGTTCTAGACAGTTCACGCCTACACAAAATTGTACCTGGGACTAATCTACGTTCTGAGATACATGACGATTACCAAAACCCAGCCTGTTTCTATCGAAAACAGGCCTAAACAAGGAAAATCGTAGATTTTGTACCTCCGGGTATTGTAATGTATGTTGCAGAATGTTGGGTGCATGTTGGGACTGTTCTTTAAATTAACTAGTGAATTCGCGCGAATACCATTTTTTTCGAAAAGTTTCGAAATGTTTGTAATTGGCTAAATGATGTGTGAAATCACTAATCCCCCCTAGCCGACTGGAGCCCAAAAATAGAAAGGACAGGAGGCATCCCGTGGCGAATCTGGCTGCCCGACCCTCAGCGACCAGCGATAATGTAAACAAACACAGTAACGGGTGTCCGAGACACGAAAAGGAAATACAAATAATCTTACGCCCCAAAACACATATACAATAAAACAAAAAAAACCTGCACCATCTACAGCCCATTAACAGAAGATACACCGAGTGCCGAGAACGTCTGAGACAGTATACCACGGTATTTGTAAGCCGAAAACATCCGAAATTGCGCAAGAGGGCGTTGACCCCTGACCCATTGGCCCACCCGGAAGTTGGCTGGCTGCGACCCGCGCGATCCCACCAGGCACGATAATGAGACGTTGATTGACGGCACATGTGGTTCACATCTGAACAGTTTCAAAGAAAGAATTTATCGACACCCCTCTGTGTGAAAGGTCAGATCAGTGGTCGCGACCTCAATGGTGATTATACATGCAAAGGTCAAAAGCTGAGGTCCACTTTCACACTGAAAGGGGTGTCCATCGGCGGTCTAAACGCATTATTTTCACGCACTAAAACACACATACTAAAAAACCAAAACAACGTGCACCATCTACAGCCCAACAGCAAAACGTATACCAAGTCCCAGACATATCCGTCCACCCAAACGCGAGAAACGGCTGCGAACGCAATTTTCGTCTTCCCTCACAAAACCTCCGCGCTCGGGATATACATCCCTACCCGGAGGTAATAAAAGGTAGATACTGCACGGTTCTGCATACGGTGCCCTCCCAATGTACCACTATATGCCCCCGGCCCCCTTCCCCAGTGATCTCTCTCTGTCTGTGGACCAGGGTAGCAACAGGATTTGTAGCCAAATAGCTTCGCTGTTCATGTCTTGGACTTCAACTTCCGCGTCTGTACATTGTGGGAACGGATCAAGGCAGCCGGAGGCCATTATCATACGGCAAGGCCAGCGAGTAAGTAAATAATGGGTCAGCTAGAGTTCACCAGTAGCTCGCTAGACTTGCAATAGTATAGGCGGTACATGACCTTGGTAACACCACTAATCATGTTGTTAATGGGGGCACCTAGAGTTAACCGACAGACACAATACGATATCTAAAGTTTACACATGCATATGGTGACTGCAGATATCGCACTTAGTTACTGCCCTACCTGCACCCCCACCCACCCACTACCACCCTTTATACACAATATAACACGCATTTTGTTAGCCTGGGAGCCATGTCAACAACGTAATTTTACAACAAACACTCTCAGCTACACTGGAAGCTGGCCTGTGTATTGGCCCTAGGAACAGCCTGGCTCCCAGGCTAACAAAATGCATGTCCAATGTGTGAAGAAGAGGGGGAGGGGTGCAGGTAGGGGTGCTCCTAAATGTCGCCACTCCATGCATCCATTTGATTGCTTCTAAATATATGTAATGGTGTAGTTACGACTGTGAGAGACCAACGTATGGGCTATAACGTAATTAGACTAGCTCTAACTACCGAACAGAGAAACAAACACTCACAGGTAGAACAGCACAGCCAGTACCGGTAAAAGAATCCATGTCAGCGGGATAGGGAGGGCGTCCAGGACCATTGTGACAGACAAACTGTGATACGTGATGCTTCAGAACCTGTATATCGACAATTCAGTCACTCCGTGTCGCAGGACTTCAAGTTCTAGAGTTTTTAAACGCACTGTAAATGTCCGGTGTGCTGCCGCGTTTATATAGGTTGGCGCGAACTTGTGTAAACAGGAAGCTGACGTAACCGCACAACAATAGCGCTGACCTAAGTTATTTACCCTTTAACCCTGCCGATGGCCAGGCTACGTTACCGGTGCGCGGTAGATTTGTGTTAAATATGATATCTCAAAAATGTTCCGCTTGATAGTGTGCAATGGCACTACTAGATTTTTTCGCCAAAGAAGCATTTATTTTTAGCTATAATATAAAAGTAGATATTGACTATGATAGCCACATTGGCAAATAGACCGTTGACTCGTGTAAACACAAATCTGACGTAACCGCAGAAGAAAGGCCGCTGACCTAAGTTTAACGTAACGTATCTGCCAAATATGGTGTGTTTTGTATTTGTGTTAGATATGATGTCTTAATTAAAAACGTTGGACTTTATAATGTGCTATCACCACCAGTTATTATTTCTTTAAATAATGTCGCCAAAGAAGCATTTATTTTTTAGCTATAATATAACCTATATATTGACCATTATAGTCAGATTGACCAGTAGGCCGCTGACTCGTGTAAACACAAATCTAACGTAACCGCAGAAGAATAATGACCGCTGACCTTAGTCTAACGTATTAACCTTTTTTACCCTGTTCATAACCCAGATATGGTGCGTCATGTATTTGTGTTAAATATGATGTCTTAATTTAAAACGTTGGACTTGATAATGTGCTATCACTACCAGTTATTATTTCTTTCAAATAACTTCGACAAAGGAGCATTTATTGTTAGTTATAATGTAACCTAGATATTGACTATGATAGTAACATTTGTCAGTAGGTTGACCCGTGTAAACACAAAGCTGACGTGTTCCACGCAAAAAGCGCTGACCCAAGTTATTGACCTTTCCCACACTGCCCATGCATAGCCCGACTACGGTGTTCCGTATATTTGTGTTAAATATGATGTCCTAAAACATTGTGTTTTATAATGTGCAATCACTAGTAGATATGTATTTTCCATAGTTTCACCGAAGACGCCGAACATTTATTGTTAGTTATAAATTTTATCCTGCCCATAGCCCGACTACGGTGTGACGTAGATTTGTGAAATATAATGTCCTAAAACATTGGGTTTTATAATTACCAGGAGGTAAGGATTTTTCTATAGTTTCACTGACTCTGAGCATTTCTTGTTAGTTATAAATTGTAACATATAGCTAGATGTCGACTGCACACTGGTCAGTAGACGTTGCCTCGTGTAAACAGGAAGGTGACGTAATCCACACAAAAGGCGCTGACCCAAGTTAGGCCACAGCAAGTAATTTTTATGGATGACATCAGCCCGCGCTTTATTTTTCGCCTGATTTGGGGGAAAAAATTGTTGCCTTCTGACAGTGGTCACCATGCGGAAAATGGGCAAATATGTCTGTTGCCATGTCGGAAGGTGGATGGCAGATAACTATGAAAAGATCGAGGAGACAAGAAAAGCTAAAGGCTCTGATTTAATATTAGTTTCTTACTTTGATGCAGTGATATGTGATGTTGGCTGTGTATATGTGATGTTCCCACTGAATCAAAACCATTTGTACAATGATTGAGCCAACATTTTAAAATACAGGAACCTTGTTTTTTCGGCCGCCTTGTTTTTTTTCGCCCGCTCGCATTAGATTTGGAGTCTGTGGAGAATGTCATCCATAAAATTTACTTGCTGTGGCCTTATTTACATTTTAACACTTCCCATGATCCTTTGCTACTAGATGTCCTTGATTTGCCTAAATGTCTGAAAGCATTGGATTTTAATATAGATTTAATAACATAAAATCAGCATTTATTTAGATTGGTCTAAATTAGATATCGACTGTGCTGGCTACATTTACTTCATTAGTAGGCACGAACACGTAGAACAGGAAGGTGACGTATTCAACCAAAATAGCACTGACCATTTATTTGGCTTTTTCACATACCCCGTTAAACCTTTGCTACGAGGTGCCATTTGTTTGCTTCATTGTTGTAAAACATCGAATTTTTTAAAACATCTGGTCGGGCAAACGTGGTAGTACAGTTTTTTCTAGAGTTTCACCGAAAACGCAATTTTACAATATCTCAAACTTTCTCTAATTCCCACAGGTACAAAATAGGATAAATATATAGTCGACTCACTCACTCACTCACTCACTCACTCACTCACTCACTCAATCAATCAATCAATCAATCAATCAATCAATCAATCAATCAATCAATCAATCAATCAATCAATCAATCAATCAATCAATCAATCAATCAATCAATCAATCAATCAATCAATCAATCAATCAATCATATGGAACTGGTGACAACGTCATACTGTCGTATGTCACATATTTTAGAGAACTTTTTTCAGGTCCATTTTTCTATTACAATTTTAACGTGAACGAAGATTGTGTGTAGAGATCACGATTATCATTCTAGATTTTAAGACAAAGAACAAAATCAGCTAACCTACAATACTGCTTTATCTGTTTCGGTAATGACGCAATTGCAATGATAAAGATCAGTTCATTCGAATTCAAAGTTGATGCCGGTCCCGCCAAGCTTCTTCTCATACCAAGCATCGAAGGCTTTGCTCTGTTCTGGGGAAAACATGTTCTTCCAGTCTCCAACAATTCCTGTAAGTAAAGACAACCAAAACATATAACGGTGCGGTAACATTCTTGTATATGCGATTGATTTATTTTGTAATGATTCCAAATCATACAACCCTAACATGGTGTGATTTAAATCATTAAGATCTGTTCGTGTATAATCGCATCGTATTACGCAACTTACGTTTAAGGCAGTTTGTTTGTTACCCTAGTTAAAATATGAAATGTCCATGTGGTGAAATTATTTTTTATAGTAAAAAAATGAATTACTTGCACTGAAAGGAGTTATCACCAGTTTATACAGTTATCACGGGTTTCGAATTGAATTTTCTATCTCAACTAAATCAATGTAATAAATAATCAAGTCTGTATAAACTATTTGCAATGTCAGTTACAAAAAATACAGATAACCGTCACAGATTAGCTTTTACTCATGTCCCTATGCAGCTGATTTATAGAATTTCCTCATTAATTATGCAAATTACATTATTATTTGCATAATTGTAATACTATTATGTCAAGCATCACTTCAGCTACCTACACCAAAAAATTACGACGATCCATCAATCGGTTCTTGAGTTATCCTCCTTTAAACATTTTAAACTAACGCCCCTGCAGTTTCAGAGCAAGCAGCTAGGGGGCTCAAACTCATGTCACTTCATACCCAGCACAAGAGCTACCTACCATCTAAATTTCATGGCCCTAGCATGTCCAGATTACGAGATATAAAAACCGGTAGTTTAGTGGCAGTACCATAACAAGCCGCTAGGGGGCCCAACATCTAATCAGTTCCACGTCTCATAAAGACCTACCCACCTACCAAATATCAAGACAATCCATCTTAGCTCTTAGCCTTCTTGAGTTATCGTGTTGACACACACACACACACACACACACACACACACACACACACACAGACACACACAAACACAGAGAGAGAGAGAGAGACACACACACACACACACAAACACAGAGAGAGAGAGAGAGAGAGAGAGACACACACACACACGAACGCCTACGAAAACCATTACCTTTTCTGACTAGCATCCTTATCTCTGGTATTTCCGACTTGCACAGAGCTGCCTTCATATTGTCAAAGGTACAGGCCTCGGCGACGTCTTTCATAGTGGACTCATTCAAATCGACCTCCAGAAATGTCACAATGGTCTTTATAGAGCCAGACAGGTCCTTGAAATAGGTGTAAAAACTGATCTTTTTAACAGTCACCAAATTGTCAGCAGTAACATATTGCTTCAGTGTACATACAACAGAACAGAATAGAATACAGTAAATACTTTCATCAGGTTGATAAACAAATGAATAGCAACGTTCTTTGATCACAACCATTTATTTTTCACGAGCCGACGTTTCGATGACCGTCTGTCATCTTCATCAGGGCAATTCTGACTGGTTTACTGTGCACTAACGCACTGACGCTAAGTACACTGTAAACCAAGTAACAGTACACTGTGAACTATGTAGCACCTTTAGTGCACTATGCACCAAGTAACATCTAGCGTCAGTAGTACTCAGTACACAGTAAACCAGTCAGAATTGCCCTGATGAAGATGGCAGACGGTCATCGAAACGTCGCTTCGTGAAAAAGAAATGGTTGTGATCAAAGAACTTTGCTATGCAGAATAGATGTTGTTATGTTGGTATTGGGTTTATAAAGGCTCGAAAATGGTGGGTTTGTTACCCTCTTCATGTCCTCATACTTGATAAAGAGGAAGTGAGGGTCATCACGCATCTGCCACCAGCCCAGCAAATGATCACAGTAGTCTCCAAAACCAACTGGATAAAGGCAGATAGACCAGATGATTCAACAAAATAATTCAAAGGAATGTTTTTATCAAGTCGGTTCCTTAACATCCTAAACGTTTAGTTTGTCCAACCGTCTTTGTTTATCGAATAATGCCTATCACTTTTGACTACTTATACCAACGGTTCTATTTCATTGTATTTTGTTTCAATTGTTGCCGCTCAGTCTAAGTAGACATACACTATTGTCTGTCAAACATATCATGATTTAATTTCTAACGTTAAAAACACCATAACTCCATAGATAGGAAAACATGTCGTTTGTAATAAATTTAATAGGTCAGGTTGTCAAAAACTCGTATGAAACTGGCGTGATTCTATCTTAGCTATGCTATGCTAATACAATGTTAACCAACAATCCAAAATCAGTTGGGTGAATTATGTGGATACTACTTCCAATATCTTACCTTCAGAGTCCAATAAAACGTCGCAAAAAGCTCGATTTCTTCCATATGATCCATATGCTCCAGTTATGCGTAGTCACGTGACGGATTTCGCCGAAGCCGGCTTTGCTTAGCCGAGCGGGTCGCGAAAGGCGTACTTCGAAATGCCATACAAACTTCATTTCTCAATTATCGGGATTAACAAGTATTTCAATCAACTATTTGGGATATATTTTTTTTTACATCTGTATCCGTTTTACCTACATATCGAGATGACATAAACACTTTACGGACTGACCTTTAGTGTCTTGCCGACTAACCTTTTCCGGTGATGAAGTTCTGAGCAAATTCATCCCAGGGGATAGTTGCTTTGAAATCCCTCAACTTCCACATGCTATGGGCAAAATGGAAAAGTGACACAACCGTGTCTTTTGGGTTCCTCATTGGCACTAGCACTTTGACCTGTGTATAATGCAAAGAGAAAACAAAACAAGATGGCTGACACATGTCTGCCATGACGTCTCCAATAAACATGGCAGCGCCCATTAACCCAAGCAAAAACTGAGAGCTAGGTAGTATACAAGGATTGCACGTACGTTGGTATGTTAAGACAGTAGAAGAAATACAACATAACCAATACACGTGCACGCATAAAGGCATCCAATGCGATATCAGGGCAGAAAAACTGGAAATATTCTCAAGGCAATCTTTGTGATGTTGACACATACTGCTTCACATCGGCACAGTTGAGTCAGTATTTCATACTTTAGGCTTTTAAAACTGTAGCCCCAAGATGAGTCCTTTATTTTCAAGGTGGTACCCAGGGTCCTTCCAGTAAGTATTTTCCGTCAGAATTTTGGGTAATTTTGTTCCATGAGGGTCAATTACATTTGGATAGTGTGGTTTCAACTCTGTATGTAGATAAGTGACTAGAATATAGGCTCTGAAAAAAAATTGGGTTTCCAAGCCCTAAAAACTGCACTGGATGTCTTTAAGGTTAATATTGTGTAAACAAAATTGGAAACAAAGCTGTCAAACCTTCTTTCCTGGTTTGGATACCCCTAGAGGCGCAAACTGAATAGGCAGGTGTGTCTTCAGAACGCGGGGAGATGGCATATCTGCCTGACGGATGTAGCCCGGCTGTGTGGCGGATGGTCGAATCATCTCGATCGGCCCAACGTCCCTACACTCGTACTCCACCCCGTCTTTAATTTCCCCCGCAGCTTCTAGGATCTTAAATATGACCCTCAAAAGCCAGGTTGAGCCTTGAAAAAAATGTCAATTGGTTGATTTAGTTGAAAATCATAAATTCTAAATATTGACATTTAAAATTTTCACCGCTCTAACCGGCAGAAGTCGATGTTCACCTGTTATTAACGTCTTTTGGAGCAGGGACTACAAACAGCGTTTGTCCGTCTTTATCTCGTCTAAACCTGTTTTTCCTACGAAGTAAATCACGACAAACTCTCGTCAGACAAACTGGTTTTCTGAGAAAGACTTCATCAGACATGTCTGTGTCATGAATGTCTGCTCCACCAATTGAATTTTGGTGACCTGTGTGAATTGTGCCAAATAAGGCAAACTCGTATACTTTTATACCAAAGCTCTCTAAAAGTTGAATCCTAGCTAGAGGGGCAACAGAGATAAATTCGACGGCCAACGTGAAATATATGTTTTCATGATACATTGCATGGCATGTGTAAACAGTACCTGTCTTTCCAAAACTTGCCACAACGATGTCGTCATCTCGGATATGGTAGCTGGGCATGGCATCCAGATTTTCCTTGGTGACAGGAAGAGGGAATCGAACCCCCTTATACTCCCAGGTCACCTTCTGAAAACTCATTGTACTCTGTAAAATCATTATAATCCGAAATTAGAAATTCCACAGATCAGATTCTCAGAGATCTTACCCAATATTATCCAGACGAATTTTACCTTTATTTTTTATTGGAGGTAAAAACAAATGTTCTGCAACCTCACACATTCACTAAATGATTTATGACAGACGTATCATACGTATTTCACATGGATTAATCAAATAAGGTCCTCACTTTGTTCAAATCGTATCTATGATGAATAACTATAAAAATTAGACTATCACCTTTTCAAAGATGTCAAAGATGAGACCAGACTGTAATTATTGAACCATGTGCATCGTTAAGGATCCTTGTTCTTTTCAAAAAATGTGATGGAATCTTTACCGTGCATATTTTATATCAGTTGATATCAGTAATTTTTCTTCAATCGCGCCCTATTTTCCTTATGTGGTAATGACTGGAATTCTCGTATTTGATTGTTCAGACATAGTAAAAGCTGTAGGGCTGATATTAGTTTGGATTTTACTACGGTCAATATTGACTTTAGTAGACTGGGCCATACAATTTACTAAATGACGGCCGAGTCATGCTGAAGGTACACGTAAAGACATGCGAGTTGTAGAATAGATAAACGTATATGCCACTCTCATCATTTCTCTCACTACCCCCCTCCCCAAACATCTAGATCCACACAGATAGACTTACAGAGTCGACACAATCCGGCAGAGGATATAAAATACGGGGCAAAGCAAATGTTCAGTGTTGACAATGTTTGCACAGCTATGACGTACAAATTACTTTGGGGGCAACGTCATTGTTAACGGATTATTTGATATTACTATGATATTATCGGTCCTACCTCTCAATTTGACAGTCCAGCCAGTGTGCCCTCCCCCGGCGTAACTGGTAACTGTGTGGGTCAAAGTTGACACTCTGTCAGTAGTAACAGCTGGTGCCCCTGACCTCTGTCACAGCGCGGGGTAGCCGGCCGTCAGGTCGTCGGCCTCACGTCACTGCCGGGTAAACCTTCCACCCCGGCCTCTCTCCTTACAGGCCATTTCTAACACGGTTGCATTGGGAATTTCTAAACTAAACCTGTTAGAAACCCCGGGGCTTTTGTTTTTCCCAGTCAAATCTAACTTTGGAGTCTCAACCAATCACAAATTAACAGTCAATGATTCTCAATATGAAATAATTTTTGTCTATAGAATAAATGTAAATAAATCTGCTACCACTGCAATTAGAAATACATCGATTTCCTGTGGGCATCTGACTTTGTGTATTGAGGGGGTATCCGTCAGCCTACCGTCCACTAGGTTATTTGCAGTGAATGTCGGTCGCCGCGCGTCATTTTTCTGTGGCACATCCAGGCGCGCCTCGTTTTTCGCCCAACACATATAAACGACGCACGTGTAAACCGGGCCATATCTCTGCATTGAGGGGGTGCGAAGTATATAAATATATATAAAAGTACCAGTAAAGCAACACAAGGGGTTAGGGTTGTTATAATGTCTAACAAACATGATAAATCCGTTGCCATGGCAATAAGTTTGAAATTGTCAGCTTATTACACTTCCCATGACCATCCGAAACGGGGTGCCGTAGATTTGCGTACATGTTGAGAAAGAATTAGATTTGCATTATAGCTGGACAGACAAATGTAGCTGGATACTATTTTTTGTATTTTCACAAAATGAGCTTTTATTATCGGTTTAAAAAATAATGTAACATGGATATTGGACATGGATATAATAATTGGGCATGGACATGGAAATAATGTAAGTTAGATTTTCGGCTCCATGTAAGTACTTACGTTTTTTAGACTTTCATGTCCATCCTATTTCCTGTGACTTTCCGTCATTCTGCATGTCAATCTTTACCACCCAAGTGGTATAAAGTAACTCGATCCATACTTTGACTAACATTTTGTCTCAATGCCATTCTGCTTCCCAATATTAAACCTTCACCCACCAATGTCGTGCCAACCTACTCTGTACGGATAGACAGATGTACAAACACACCGCTTAGCCACCCAAAAACATACTTTGGTACCCGGAAAATCAGCTATAAAATTGCAAGAAATATTCATAGTAAGTATCCGAGTTATTAACCAAGGATCGAGGTGTTCAAATATGTATTTTTCCAGAACTATTTTAGATTAAAACTAGCTTCCTTCATGTTCAATTGGGGAATTATGACAAGATGCGTATACTAGTATATAGAGAGCTAGATTATCAATGGCTGTGTAGCAAGTCGCTCCGTGTCATATAGCCAGCTTTCGCTGCAGTGCCTGCTAAGCTGGCGGGGTTTACCTGGGGGGGTACCGGCTATATACGTTTTATATAGCAACTACTCTGTGCCTAATGTTACCTCAAACAAGGAATAGAAAAAAAAAATTGGAAATGAGTCTAAACTCAGTTGTCCTCCGGATAGTCCTGGTCCTGCAAGGCCAGCGCGACGGCAAGGTTCCGTTTCCCGGTGTAGCCCAGTCTGGCATGCTGGCAGTAGATGTTGTTTAGAACAAGCAGGTCTCCCTTTTGTACCTGGAAACCCATGGCAACCTATTGGTAAACAGGCAACATATTGGTTAGCCTTGGTATATATTCTAACTTAGTATGACCATGTAAAAAACATGTCCATAACATTTGTCTCATATTTAATGATAAATGACATATTCGTCATAGGTCGTCGTAGGATTTTGCTTTAAAAATTGTACAATTGTAGCAGGCAGTGACCGAACCAAATTGAGTTTTGCAGGACAAATATACGATCCCAACTTATAGAATCGTACGAGGATCGTACAGCAATCGTTTGACATATGTGGGTGATAAATAGTAAATATTGTAATGGGGAGGCTGAGGAGAAAATTAAAGGCATGTGATGTATTGAATGAACAACCTTAAAAGAGCAGGCAGCATTTAAAGACAAAAATACCATCCAACAGCAGCAAAAACACACGTGGTAGAAAAAAGGCAAATTTCGTCTTCCACTGCCTCAGAAAAAGGTTTAAAAACCAAACAATTACAATATTTAAAAACTTTTGTATTTAGGCCATGTTGATTTTATTATATGGATGACATCCTCTGGGAAGTCTCATTAATTATAAAATGTACGTGGTCATAATCACGAAAGTTAAAAAAATGACTAAACACACAGTGCATGGTACCGTATGGTGAATAATATAGGCATTTCTTTACATTTTTCTCTTTTTCTTTTGAATTTATCTGAGTATTCTACGACATCAGTGACGTTTTCCAATATTTCTTTATTGCATATATTTGCTCACTGTGTACCTGATGTTTTTACAAATAACCGTATGGCCAAAAACTTTTTGAAAACGGACAAAACTTAAAACCATCCATAATTATATCAACATGGCCTACATTAGAATATATTATTGTTTATTTATTGTTGCTTATTAAAAACCAAAACCGATCACAGCCCCTCACGGCTGAATTGTGAGGTTTGTACAAAAGTTGCGAGCATGTTACACTTACTAATATCTTATTACATTCAGAAATACCTTAAAATAAATTGAAATAACTACTTACTACATTTTAAGATCATGATACTGAAATACTCCCGGGTAAATACACAATATATTTTACATTTTTAAAAACGTTTGTCATCTATTTATAATCTAGTACACAACTCAATGATCTAACCCTAAATCTAACCGTAACCCCAACCCTAACTCTAACCCTAACCCTAACCCTAACCCAACCCTAACCCTAACCTTAACCCTGCACCGCATCCCAAACCCAAACGCTGAGTGTATGCTCAGGAACGTGGCCCTGCGGCTGGGGCAGCAGTGTCTGGAGGATACAATTCCCTACCTGCCAGATGGTGTCTCTGATATGCTGCAGCACGTCCTGCTCTATGTCCGTGCCGTCTCCGTAGTACGTGTGCTGTGGGTACATGTGATCGGGGACGACCTTGTCTGACCAGTAAGGGGTGGTCTTTATGTAGCTGTTGTTGTTAGAGTGCGCCACAGTAAACCACACCCAATCACCTGACGTTTCATAAGTATGATAAATTAGTGTTTTCGAAAAGGCCGATGCCATATACAAACGTATCATAACTTTTTTAAGGAGCAAAACGTATAAAAAGAAACCTTTTAGTTACAAACGTAAAAGAGTATCGCAAAAAACAGTAAAAGATTTAGGGAAGAAAGAAAGAGCTCAAATTTCAAACCGTCAAAAAGCCTCATACTAAAACCATAAATCTCTACACCATGAAACATAACGGTGCTGAAAGTTCTAAAACAGTTGAAGTTGCCGTGCTGTGATATGGCATCGACCGTTTTAAATGGCATTGACCGTAATTTGCTTCTACGACAAAAAGACAAAGACGTATTTCTAACTCATCAACCGACATTTCACCATTCTAAAATTTTTCTGAGGCACGTTTAAAGCCGACCCCGTAAAATTGAATACTCCTGCTGAAGTACGCCCAGTACCATAGAGATACCAAAGAGCCTAAGATGACTGATTACCAGGCTAGCATAGTGAAGCCATGTATACGTAGGTGAAGTCTTTATACTGTATTTTCCGTACCTCTGTACTTGTGCATAGCTGGCAGAACGGTCCAGTTCATCATAGAGCCGTCCTCATACCACTTCCAGTGTATGTTGTGAGCTTTCAGGTGTTCTTCCACTTCATATTTATCCTCCGTCAGGAAGGTCTGAAAACGATATCACAAAAAAAAACTCTGAAGGGAATTTCAACTGCTGATTTAAACAACACATTTATGATACATTATATTAGATACCAAATCTACAATTAAATCATAGACTTTCTCCTAACATAGTGATTTTATTTCGTTGGGGCCCATAGGGTGGAATTTTTTACCCCCGTGTGAGGCATTGTTTCGTTGTGTTTTTGCATTGCGTGCGTGTACGAGTTAGAGTCATATACAGAACGTGAGGGGAAATTTCGTAACCACAGACTGACAGGAAGTATTCTACAGGCCGGCGCCGGCAGTAAGAGACAGCTGAATATGCAAATAAGCATTACCAAGAAATTTTCTGCACCTAAATATTACGTGGAGGTGTGAAATCGTGGATTGCTCGTTGTTAAATAGTTCTTTTTTAGCAAATCGCAACGTCGGTACCTCTAGTCCTCAAGCAGATCTTTTATTGATTTAAACGGAACAATGCAATACTGTTGACGCACATAAGCTACGCGAAATAGCCTAATATCATCGTATCGACTGGAAATAAAATGCTACTTACAGCATGAGACAAAAATATGAAAACGGACACATAAAAACACAGAAAACTACAAGCAGATTTCTCGGGGACGGAAAACTATTCAACCGGTCACCAAACAACTGGCTATTTTAGTGGTTGGACAGTGTTCCTCACCCGGAGCAGAGGGCTGCTGGAATATTACCGTACCGCCTGCCAACTGTTGTACGTGTCCGGACCGCGGGTTCCTGATGGGAGGTAGTGCGTGTACATGACTCCCAGTCTCCGGAACTTCTCCACCACGGCTTTGTCCAGACGGGGCAGAATGTCCCGGGCGTCCGCCAGCACCGTCTCACCCCCTGTCCCGGGGGCCGGGGGGTCGATACAGAAGAACATGATCTGTGGAGGCCAAAAAAATAGATGTCATGAAAGTTTATCTGTGTTGGTAGTGATTATAGTAAAACGTTAAACTTTATTCCAACACAATTTACAGAGAGATCAAATTTTCAGCCACCGAGACGGACCCTTATGCTTATCTATGGGACTTAGTGTGGAATTCCCGTTGGCGCCCCCTCCACTTCTTGCCGTAAAACCAAAG